ATCAGTTGTTAGAAATGAGTTATTAAAATTATTATGTTTAGAAATGTGTTGAAAAAATCTTCTCTCCCTTAAACAGAAATTGGGGAAAAAATAAACAAGCGGTCTAATAATTTAACGGGGCTAATAATTCTGACTTCAACTGTATATATATATGTATGTCTATGTATTCAGGAGAAATTTACATCACCAATCTAAAATGTATCGCTCTCACAGAAGCCACTCAGCATGAAGTAAATTGGGATTTGCTCACACACTTAAACATGTGAGCAGGACATTGCTGAGTATAAGGTAATAAACTGAGTATTAAACTGGCTCTAGGTGGGCCTCTGGCACGTTTACTGTTGCAGTGTTAAACTGTAATTTGTACAAACACACCAACACACTATACACACCTCGTGGAAATATCTGTAAAGGCTCAGGTAACAGTCCATTGAAGCGTTGCTCCATCACTGTATTGCAGTACTGCAGAGAATAGAAGAACAAAACTCTTAAAAACAGCCCTGTTCTTTTTTTTTCAGAATATTGCACACAGAATCAATATTACACTCTGTGAAAGTCTTTGGGAAAAAAGTCCCATGGAGTACATAAAAGCAATCTTATGTCAAAAAAAAAAAAAAAACACAACATCCGCTTTCTTTCCTAGTCACTTGCGGTGTTGGGAAGAAAAGAAAAGACGTTAAATGAATCAGGCACCCTGCTCAGGTAATCTTTCTGAAACACCAGCCACCCTCTGTATCAATTCATCCGTTGTAATGGCTGCCAGGCGCAGTCCAATCACTGAGCTTTCTCATTTCAGCCTGACGTAAAAGCAATCTGCCAGTAACGGCTGCCTATTAATTAATTACACCGCATAACAGGCTGAAATAGAGTCTGGCATTTATAAAGCTTTTATTATATTATTAACACCATTATTAATGTCAAGGCAAGCTTTTGGCTTTAATTATCAGTACCTTTCTTTAATTAATCTGTGCCAGAAATAAAGGAGTTGAACTTCAGACTTCACTCAACAAGGCTAAATTATATAATTTCACAAAATTTTAACAGGTATTTGTGTAATTATCAGTATTTATTATTTAATAAATCTTTGGCATTAATATAGACACTGCATTTTAGATTTCAGCAAAATAGACTGAACAATAAACACAAATTACTTTTGTTTTTACTTATGTAAAATTTTTGTAAAGTTAATACATTTACTCTACTTATTGACTTTAAAATTATTTTATCTGATACATCTGTCATATGTGATGTTTTCATATTTATATCAATAAAATGTTAAATTACATTAATTACTTTAGCATGTTAAGTGTGTCATGGTGGTACAGAGGGTAGTATGATCGCAGACGAACAGCAAGAAGGTCTTGATTTGAGCCCCGGCTGGGTCAGTTGACATTTCTGTGTGGAGTTTGCATGTTCTCCCTGTGTTTGTGTGGGTTCACTCCGGGTGCACTGGTTTTCCCCACAGTCCAAAGACATGCACTATAGGTAAATTGAATAAGCTAAATTGGCTGTAGTTTACGTGTGTAAAATAGTGTGTATGGTTGTTTCCCAATGTTGGGTATGCTGGATAAATTGGCGGTTTATTCTGCTGTGGCGACTCATGATTAATAAAGGGACTAAGCCGAAAAGACAGAGTCTGTCATAATTTCAAAATATAGTTCAATATTTTGTAGTGGATATAGCATTTTTACTCATTCTTTTTTAAAATAAAAAAAACTGGCAATGTACAATGACTTACATAAAAGTTGTGTGATATTTTGCATATACACTGAAAAAATTTTATCAAAGATGATTCCTTAGATTTACTAAGTTAAATGGTTGTAAACATTTTTTTGGGCTGAATTTAAGCAAATGAATTAAGTAACTAAATTCAATTTGTTTAAATTCAACGCATATAAATTGTTAGCAACAATTTTTAGAATTTTTTTTTTCCCCAGTGTAGACAGAAATACAGTTAACGTCAGAATTATTAGCCCCGTTTATTTTTTCCCCAATTTCTGTTTAACGAAAATAAACAAAATTCAACACATTTCTAAACATAAAAGTTTTAATAACTCATTTCTAATAACCGATTTATTTAATCTTTGCCATGATGAGAGTAAATTATATATGACTAGATATTTTTGAACACTTCTATACACTTTAAAGTGACATTTAAAGGCTTAACTAGGTAAATTAGGTTAACTAGGCAGGTAAGGGATATTAGGCAAGGTATTGTATAATGATGGTTTGATCTGTAGACTATCGAAAGAAAAATAGCTTAAAGGGGCTAATAATTTTGATCTGATTTTTTTTTTTTAAACTGCTTTTATGCTAGCCAAAATAAAACAAATACGACTTTTCCCAGAAGAAAAAATATTATCAGACATACTGTGAAAGTTTCATTGCTCTTTAAACATCATTAAGGAAATATTTAAAAAAAGAAAAGAAAATTCCAAGAGGGGCTAATAATTTTAATTAATAATAATTAACTTTAACTGTATATGAAATAAAAATTATGCATACACTACCAGTCAAAAGTTTGGGGTCAGTAGGATTTTTAAATATTTAAAAATAAGCTTATCCTGCTCACCAAAGCAGCATTTATTTAATAAAAAATACATCACAAATAGTACAATTGTGAAATGCTAATGCACTATAAAATAACTGTTCAAAATTGCTTATTATTTATTTTATTTAACCATTTATTCAAGTGATTTTTAAGATGAATTTTCAGCTTCATTACTGTAGTCTACAAAGACACATGATCCTTCAGAAATCACTCTAATATTAATTATTATTATTATTATTATTATTATTATTATTATTTGTATTATTATTATGATTATTAATGGTAATAGTGATAAAATCAATATTGACATGAGTAATTATTTTATTTGAAACTACACACAATAAGAAAGCAGTTATTTAAGATTTTTATAAATATTTAAAATATTTTTTTCCATTTAATAAATGCCGCTTTGATGAACAGAATAGCTTTCTTTAAAAAAAAAACATTAAAAAAAAATGATCCCAAACTTTTGACCAGTGGTGTATATTTGATCTATGTCTAAATATTCAATATTTGCTTAAGTTGAAACGTCACCTAGCACTTCCGATTGTACTTCAAAAGAACCCTTCTCTTTTAACCGCGACACAGATTTGTGTCTCCTGCCAAAAGCACATTCAATTGATGTTTCGTTTAACAGAACCATCTGGTCGCTCGTCCTCTCCTCTCAGTCCAGCACGAGACCTTTGTGCCCAAACACAGAGCCCCTATCACACACAATACAGCCATTAAAAACCACAAATCCAGATGGACATGTTAGGAGGGGAGAGTGTTAGTGTCTGAAAGAAGCACAGAGACAGAAGAAAGAGAGACAAAGGTAGAACAAGACAAAGGTCAAAAGCGAAGCCTAAGCGAGGGGCCGGCGGTACAGTGGCGTCCCTCTGCTGCGTGCGAATGCGTGATGAATACGAGGACATGCAGAGGAAGCAGTGTTAGAGCAGCTGTTATTAAATACCCTATTTATCACTGTCACCTCTCTGCACTGCCTGCAGGCGCTGAAACCATGTAGCTCCACCAAAACACACACCTTTAATTTTCCACTCGGCTGCTTTATCGATTAGGGCTGCAATTACCTAACTAATCTGTAACGGTGTATTAAAAGAAACCTCCCTTTGTTGGACAATAACTAAAGGCAGTTTGATCACAGGAAGGCAGCTTGAGCGCTGGAGGGAACAGAAGAGTCGGACCTCCGCTCTGTTGGACCCCGATCATTAACACACCCCGAGTAAAGCGCTCTGTAATTAGCTGGCCCAGCCTGGGAGATCAGTGTGTGTGTGAGAGAGAAAGAGAGAGGAAGGCTATGGGTCAGTCTTTAACTTTGAACTAACATCCTGTAAAGGCTGGTGCTAAGAAGAGGTTCACCAGGGACCCAAAACATCTCAGAGACCTCAAACTGCAGGAGCAAAAAAAAAAAAAAAAAAAACATGCTGTCAAGACAGTTTGAAGGTCAGATTCCACCAGAGAGCATGGCGAATTAGCTTACGCACCTGTAAAGCAAGAAGTCATCTCTTAATTCCTATTAAGTCTACATAACAGCAGATCCCTTCAAATGGAATTAATTGAAGCAAATTTATAAAGGCCCCCGCAGAGACCCCAGGAGCCACCGAGGCAAAGGGCACACGTTTGAAATATGACCACAATGATTGGTTAAATGTAGGCGCGAGCCACCGAACATGTTACATGCATATTAAATTCCACCCTTCTCAGCAGCTTGTGCTCTCCCCAGAGAAGCAAACAGCATCATGGGAGGAAAAACTCATTTTCAGAAAAAGTGGACTCAGTTGTGCTGTTAACCAAAATGCGACGAGGAGGCAATCTGCAACGCACGGTAATATTCACTGTCAGAGTAATATGGCCTCAAAGAATTCTTTATGATGTGCATGAGATGAAAATCTCTCAGTGTATGAACATTAATGCAAATTGTCGCGATAACAAATGAAAACATTCGCAGATATCGCCAATGACGAAATGTGAGTTTCAGAACGAACTATTCGGTGGCCGCAGAATTAATCAAGACAAGAAGAAAAAAACTACACTCAGGCAGTGCAGGACACCCGCGAGACATCATTGTCAGTGTGTCACCTTCTGGCCTAATCTGGCTAATGACTGCAATGGCCTTGAGAGGTGCAGCATTGATAAAGCATCTAAAAATAAATAAATATCAAATATAAGTGATTTCCCTTCCTGCAGAAGCCGTGCTTTTGAAGCCCATGGCTACTCCAGAGTCATTGAGAGCTGATGGGGGGTAAAAGACAACACCAGCTGAAAGTGGATTTTGAAAAATTCCTCTACCCAGGAGGCCTGTGCTTCTAATGAGGCGAAACTTTAAGTATTGAATAATAAATAATAAAAGTTGATAGTTCATTTAACTTCCACTGTACTTCACAGGGGGAAAAACTATTACGAGTCATTACATTTGGTGTCCACGATGTGAGCAGTAAGTATTGAAAGCACTTTTACGGTGATGTTACAAACAAAAGATAGAAGATGAACAAGACATGAAATAAGAGCAGACAACAACATTCCCTTCCTTACTCAAAAACAAAAACAAAGACTGTTTAAAGAACACTGAAAAAAATTACTTTTAAGATTAACTTTAAATCCTCGTAACAATTTGCACAAACAAATTGCAAGTAAATTTTACTACCTTATACCAGGCACAATTAACTTATCAATATCAAGTAAAATTTTCTTAATGTTTAACCTAACACTCCTAAATTAATTATGTCAAATTTAATTGATTGTCTTTCCTTTTGAGTCTATATAGATTTAAATTAACCAAGTTCTTGTTTTAGCAGAAGGAACATTGCTTTTATCCATTTAAATAAATCTTATTAGTTACAAATTAGTACATTTGGTGTAACTTGGTTAAATTAAGACACACATTTCTATTTGAAAAGTCTTATTTCACTTTATTTTATGCAAACTGAACCCAACAGCAAATTTACTTTAAAAATGCTTACTGATCCCAGAGGTAATGTTAGCACAATGGCTCTCTTAGTGAAGTGTCATACATCAATGCTGATAATAAAAATGCCAAGACCCTAAGCATGAGTGCTACTTCTCTACAAGGTGGTAACCTTAAAACAACATCAAAAAGTGTACTCAAAACTCTTCTTAATCTTCAAACTAATCAGGATAAAACTCTAACAACTCTCTCTCGAATTTAAACACCTACTTTTACTTTCAAAATATTCTCTACTTATTTCAATCCCTTGCAAAGCTTGCTGGGAACTTCAAATCCATTTTAACATATCCATTATTAAAATTTACTTAATATAAGGTTTGCAATGATTAGAAAATATTTCATTATTACAAGTAATTTAATATTAATATTTAACTATATCCATTCATTTAATTTATGAAGTAAATATGTAAATATTAAATATTTTCTTAAAAAATTCTAGTTATCATTGACACCTAATATTTTAAGATTAAAGATTTTAAAGTATTATTACTGGTCTATAAATCACTAAATGGCCAAGGACCTCAATACATTACAGATATGCTGACTGAATACAAACCCAACAGATCACTCAGATCTTTAGGATCATATAAACTAGAAGTTCCAAGAGTTCAGTCAAAGCAGGGTGAATCTGCCTTCAGCCACTATGCCCCTCGCTGCTGGAATCAGCTTCCAGAAATGATCAGATGTGCTCCAACATTAGGCACATTCAAATCAAGACTGAAAACACATCTGTTTAGCTGTGCCTTTACTGAATGAGCACTGTGCTGAGTCCGACAGATCGCACTATTATGTTTTTCGTTTTCTTTTTTATTCTTTTATAACCTATTTTAACTCATTTTAATTTGTTTTTATCTGTTTTTAATAATTTTTATTGTCTACATTTTATGTTCCTAAACTTGTCTTTTTATTCCTGTTTATGTAAAGCACTTTGAATTGCCACTGTGTATGAAATGTGCTATATAAATAAACTTGCCTTTTTTTTGCCTAATATTCATACGTTCATTAATTTTTTTCTCGGCTCAGTCCCTTTATTAATCTGGGGTCACCACAGCGGAATGAACCACCAACTTATCCAGCATGTGTTTTCTGCTCTGATGCTCTTCTAGCTGCAACCCATCACTGGGAAAGACACTTAACATCACAATTTTAAAATTATGAGAGTAAATTTATTAGATTTGACTACACCAAAGTAATTTCTTTCAGTGTAGGTACAAGTTTATGATTAGCTTTTCACAAAACACATCAAACACAATTACTTTGAATGTTTTTAATTTGTGCCTGGTCACATGGGGAGGCCACTGCCTGAGTCGACACAAAAAATAATGAATATTGAAAGATATAAACAGGAATTTAATATAGGAGTTTTCCCTTTGCTAATCTTGCTTGGTTAACACCTGTATAATTTAAAACAGGGGGTGCAAGCTAGAGATGCACGTTGCTATGGAAACATCAAGATGTGCAGCCAGAAAACGGAAAGAGATGAAGAAATTGGGGAGAGAAAAAAAACTGAAAATATGTAGCTACTTGTCATCCTTGCCAATCAGCAAAGTAATGAGAACGCTTTCCCCAAGGGTGAATAGATCTGGAATAATAGATTTGTAATAGCTTTTCCCTTCCAACAAAAACACTTTCAGCGTTCAAAAATCTAATACAACAGACTGGAAAAGAGCGCAACAGTGACCACCTACTTCCAGAAGCATTTTGCTTTGTTTAACATTGCACGCAATATAAACAAGTGTTGTTGTAATCTTTTGGTATTGATAATAACCATGAAGTGTAATAAATAAATAAATAAATACAGACAATGATATAACAGACGTGATAAAACTGTAAATAATCCAGCACCAATAACTATCTGCTTGACACTCCAACATAGTAGGTGGGGGCATTGCAATTTAAAGGGATAGTTCATCCAAAAATGAAAATTCTTTCCATAATGTACCATCACTTATACACCTTTGATTTGTTCCCGAAACAGTTTACAGAGTATTTTTGTTTTTTATTGTTCTGTTGAACACAAAAGAAGACACATTGCAAAATGTTGGAAACCTGTATCCACTGACTTCCATAGTAAGAAGAAGAAATTGCTATGGAGGTCAATGGTTTTCAGTTTCCACTGAATCTTCAATAATTCCTCATTTGTGTTTAACTAAAGACTATAGACCTTTTTCTTCATTGCTGCATGGAGGGCACCATAGTGACCAGCGCCTTCCGGTAGTGTGTTTACTGTTTTCAGTGGCTTCAAAGTGTTTTTTTTTATGCAAAACATTAATTTAGAAAGAAAGATGTGTGTTAAAGTCTGTACTTCTGTAAGATGAGGTTCAAGTGCAAGAGAAAAACAGATGCTGAAATATAGCGTCAGTGTATGCCGCGGCTCTTCAATGCACACACTCACAATCAATACCTCACTGCATTTTAAAGAGCAAACCATATTACTGGCATGAAACTGGCAGGTATGGAAGGGATGCAATTTCCAAAAATTACCAATAAAAGTATGCTACTGATACTTTTCTGGCTGATTTGAATGTTGATTCTAATCTGGAGCAGTTATAATTTCATTTCATTTAGTTTGTGTTGTGTAGTATTTACCACAGTATGTGTTTTTCAGTCATTTCAACACGCCACTTTGTGTTCACTTTGTGACACTTATTCAATCAATGTGTTAGTGGGACAGTACAGCAGGCTATGTGTGTGCGTGTCAAACATTTTGGAAAATTACATTTATTTAAGTTATTCATTTATTTGAAAGAAAGAGTTTCCCCATTCAGACAGAATGCCCGAGCATACTGCCAGAGAGGCGTTTCCCAGATGGTCGCCGAGATGGTCAGTAGTAGCTACTTTGTAGTTGCCTGTCGCTCTGGGTGGCGACATGCTGCAAACAGGTCTATGCAGGTCTACAGCACAGAGAATACAATCAAGCTGAGATAGGATCACATGAGCTCTAATGGTGCACCTATTTGCTGTCGCTCAAGAAAGTTGAAGGATTCTCAACTTTGTTGCATCGCTCATGCACACTTGGTCACCAACGTTCACTGTCACTCGCATAGACAGAGGTCACTGGAAGTAGCTTGCACTCCGTTAAAATGAACGGTCGTTTGTCGCTTTGCTGTTGCAAGTCATTCATAATGTAAACGAGGCTTTTAAGGGACTTCAACATAACAAAAAAAAACGCAAATAAGTTAAAGGCGAGTAAACGATGGCATAATTTTTATGGATGCTGCTATATTATCGATATCCTAAATGATTTCGTAGTAAAACATATATTTTGTGACAAGTTTGACTTGACATAATAAAATTTGCATAAAAAAAAAAGGTGCAAATGTATGAATGAATGTCTGCACAATTTCTTGTTGACAATAACAATATCCAAAACAACTGACTTATTCATCATAAAAGTTTAAATATATTTGATTTATTAAGAAACTACTATAATTACAAATATATGAATATATGAAAGTGCATTAACTTCCTTATTTGTGAAGTTAAGTTTACAATTCTAAGCAAAGTTTTTTAATAGTCGGTAGTCTGCTTTTTAAAACTGCTTTAGAAGTCAAACCACATAACAGATCAATTAAAAGTCTCAACAAAGAGTCTGACAGAAATTTCAGACATACTCACATAGGACAGCATGGCTTTGAGCTCGTCATCACTGCGAACTGTGATTCGGTCACCAACTTCATCCTCATCTGAAATAAAAGCGGACTCCATTATTTACAAGCTAATTTCCACAAGCATTTTTATCCTGCACTGTATATTTACTCATTTGCATGAACAACTTTTTAGTTCAGGACAACAGTATTGCAAAGAAATGAAGTTATGTTTTCCTATTTCTTTTTACTCTATTAGCTATACTGATTGCATTTAAACTTGAGTAACATAAGTAAAATACAGCAGCAACACTTACACTCAAATGCTGTGACTGTGGCTTCAGGCATGGCATCTCTGATCGCGGCCTGTCAAAAAAGGGAATCTCAGCAATCACACATTTGACTGACAGCTGTCAATCAGCACCACTATTCGAAAACACATAGCAAAAAGCACGTTTTAATAAATGGCATGCTCCACAAATGGTTTCCCTCTTTAAAAAGTCATAAGATATGAGATGAAAACTGGCTGTGAGTTAAATTAAAGCAGCTGCTCACCAGCAAATCATTGAAGTTGAGATGTGATGGACTGTCCACTGGCGAGTCCATGTCCCCCACCGGCGTCTTTATCCGGATGACGATTCCCTCAGATTCCATATTGCTCAGGTTACTCAAAACAAGTAAAAGCATAACAAAAACACACCGACAAACATAATCTTGGCTTTTAGACCGGATTTTCAGACCAACAGCAGCTGGAGAGCTGGCTAGGAGGCTAACAGTTTAACGTAGCATGAGCGCATTTAAAACACGACTGACGCAGCGAACATTCCGTCTAATAAACTCGCGACATGTCATTCCAGATGTGCTAAAGACTTTCTGTCTGCCAGTTAACTGTGTTAGATTTTATCAGTAGTTATCAAACTGTCAACAATGAAAGTAAAACAGAGGAAGTTACGCGGAAGTATATCGACGTTTACCCGGAAGCTGAACCTCTACTAGAGGCGCATAAAAGCCTCAGAAAGCAATCTTGCGAGTCGTGATAAATATTTTGGAGCTGTTATGTTGCTCTCCTGAAACTATAAATCATTTGTTTTGGGGTTGTTCTGTTACTCAAGCTTTCTGGGATAATATTAACGTGCTTATTAATTTTTAGATTTTGTTAACGATTTTTTGTTAACTTTAACATCAGTTTCAAACAAGAACTGAATTATAATTAAACATAATTTCATTGTTTAGATAGAAAGCAATAAACGTATGTTTTTATTGCTTATTATATACAGAAAAGGTATGTAATGTTTTATATTATTTCTTAATGTGCTTTATCATCATTTAAAGGATTAGTTCACCAAAAAGCAAAATTTACTCACTATTTGCTCGTCCTCGATGGATTCCAAACCTTTATGAGTTTCTTTCTTTTATTGAACACAAAATATGTTGAAGAAAGCCTGTAATCATAACCTTCCATAGTAGGAAATATACTATGCAAGTCAATGGTTACAGGTTTCTAACATTTTTTTTTTAAATATCTTCTTGTTCTTCCTCAATTGTAAGTTACTTTGGACAAAAGCATCAGCTAAATAACTAAATTTAAAATTTAAATAAACTTATGATGGAACTTTTTTAAATATTATATTATTGTTTTTTTTTTTTATTAACTATTGGGGTGCGGCCGGGTAAGGGGCCCTACAAGACAATGTGCCCAGGGAACTCTGAATTGTTAATCCAGGCCTGGATCCAAGACCTGTAAATAAATTATGCCAAGCTATCCATAATCCTGGACCAGGCCGTATTCTGAGCTGATGCTGTGGTGGTCATGGAGGAGCAGAGAGAATAAGACTGATTCCTGAAAGACCCCAGTGACAGACAAGTTGATCCAGTGGGCCAACTTGAACACTGCCAGTGACCTACTCACACCTGCAGCTTCTCCGTAATGGAAAGCCAGCATTCTTAAGCCTCCAGCGCCTAGACTACAGCTCTGCACAAGAAGTTTGACCAGAGGAGAAATGGTCATGCCCACCTGAGCCTGGTTTCTCTTGATGTTTTTTACTTTACTTTCGTCAATTGGTGACGTTTTGTTCCTTGCCACTGGCTCACTTGGTTTGGGACTAGTGGAGCTGCGCATCGATGGATTTGCTCTTTATTGTTTGAACGTTCAGCACTGAAATTTAAACCACACTAAGCTGAACTAAATTTAACTTCAGCTCTAAAAACTGGACTGACACAGTTTCAATTTACTTGAACTAAGTAAGCTGCTTTGACACAATCTATATTGTAAAAGTGCTATAGAAATAAAGATGAATTGAATTAAATTGAATATATTCATCTCGATCAACACCAACAGGTTAATCAAAAAGACTGGTGCAAATACACTCTCTTTCAACTCAGATAAACATAATAATAACTTCACCTAAAATGAATATTTCACATCTAAATGCATTGTTATATGCAGTCTCGGTGGGTGTTGATTATTTCATATATTTCCTCCTCTATTATTTAGTTCTTCCATACTTCACCTCTATTACTTATTACCTCTTAACTGCATCACTAATATACAATTTAAATAGCATTAGTATTTAAAGATTTCCACTTTGCACAAGTCATTAGCGCATAATTGAATGTACAACAAAGAACATTTAGTGCGCTGTTGATTACAGCCTTATCTTAGGGGAGACTCATTCACTCAATCATGGTCACCGGCTGCTGATTGCAAAAGCCTCAACAGACATTGATCCTTCAGCAAAGCAGAGTTTTGTTTCTTTGGCCCTCGGAGTCCAGCTAATGCAGCGTTGATACCCTAGACCACTGGTCGGATTGTGAAGTGTCATGACAAACAGCTATGGAAGCCAAGTCTGACCCACGGCGAGCTGAAATCCACAATGATATGATCGCAGCCTTCCAAGCAGCAGGATCAGGTCTCACATCAAACTTTAAAACAATAGTGTCTACAGCCTATCGAAGCCCTGACCTATTATCGGCCCGGTCAGTGGAACAAAGTCGCAGTTCCCAAAAGAGCAATGGAAGAATGCCACTTTAAGTGTTTTCTTTGTATAGGAGGACAAAAGCGGGATGCTTAAATACGCGACAGGGTTGTGCTTGCTCGAATGGAGACAGAACGGTCAGGTTTAACCTCCTGATGTTAGTGAAAACTTACTAAGAGCTCTCTGTTTAATGATCAGATTATAATGCTCGTATTACAATTGCCAGCTGGGGATTAGGTTTTGATAGCTCTAAAATGTACAGTTTGTGTAAACAGCTGAATACACAAGTGGCTCATAAACACACAATCAAACCTAATGAGTGGTTAACCCCTCATGCTCTGAGCTCTGAGTCTTCAGCTGCTCTGCATGACATTGATTGTGTGTCAAACAGCACAATATATATGCAATGGCTGAGTCTCATTGTTGCAGGTTTAGAGACAGAAATGGAGTAGCAGAGTCAATGTATCTAGAGTAAAGCGATGATTAAAAGAGAGATGTGTAACTGCCGCTTGTCCTCCCTCAGTGGACTTGGAGAGTTAAGGGTCTGGTGCAGTATTAAAGAAGAAGAGGGGAAAAAACATGCCACATCAGCAAACACAATTATCAGAAATCAAAGTGGAGGAAGAGCGTAGGATTGAGAGAGAAGGCTGGAATGCAGTGTCTGGTAATTAAAAAACATTTTATCAGCCCAAACGCGCTTTTCTCTCTTGCTCTCTCCATCGACAAGCTGTTTAGCCGAGACAGAGCGGTTTGAGTCCAGACACATGAGCTGCTGGTGTTTAACTTTCTGCACTGGACAAGAACAGGAACAAAAGACACACTAGAAAAGTTTCCATTACTGCAACATTGGCTAAAGCAAGACCTTCTCCTCACAAAGACAAACCATTTATAATTATTAGTATACAGTTCCAAAAGCTAGAAAAGTGTTTTTTTTTCTCTAACCAGAATTAGTCATGTACTAACTGACAGGGCACTGACTGCGCACAAAGTGCAATAAAACAACAACATGTCCAATGGATGAATAAACGTCACCATATTTGTGAAGAGCAAGCACCCATTGGCTAAATTCTCCATCAGACAAACTAGAAAATTTACTTGCTAAAAGTGACTGAATGATAGCATATGCAGAATGTCAAAACACTCGACTGCTTTGTTTAGATTTTAGTAACTATAACTTTAGCCCCTTTCACACAGTGATACTGGTAAACATCCGGAAAATTTCCCGAATTACTTTATCGGTAAGTTCAAAAAAGCACAGTTCACACAGGCAAGGACATTACGGAATTTTTTCAGAATAGACTGTTCACACACAACCTCTAAACGGCTGCGCTTGTATTGTAAACATTTGACTACAATACAAACTCTGTGGATGGAGAAGTATTATGAGCAACTTCGCTGAAAACATATGGAGCAATTTCGCATGTCAAGACGTGCACACGCAATGCATCAAGCAACTGAAAGAAGCAGATCTTGAAGGTAAACAAACAATGGCTTATCAAAAGCATATTATAGATCATTATTTACACAGTTGGCATTAAGAAGGAACATAGAAACGTTAACTAACATCTAGCAGCTAAATGTGCCTGGAAAAATATTCAAAGGCTTTTATTTTCATAAACAGCACAGATGTAAATGAGTGTTCTGGTTGGCTGGAGAGCATGTCTCACGTCAGCGCGTCCTAGACGTGAACGCGTTCTTTCTGGCAATCTTCCTTCTGCGTTCACACAGAGAAGCATTCCAGCAAATTACCGGTAATGTTACTTCTCTTTCTGGAAAATTGCTGGAACGAACTAACCAGTATTTTCAAAAAGTGCCTGTTCACACATTCAGACCTTTTCGGAAAATTTATTTAGTTTGTGGTCTCGTTTTATTTGTAACACTGTAAGCTATGACATCGACTTGCTTTTTACAACAAAGATGCCATTTTTACAGATAAAAAACAGGTCTCCGGCAGAAACGGTGACGTAAATGAATAACCATTAAAAATGTAACATTATTTTGTTGCTGGACTAAAAGTGTTCTATGGGATGTTGTTCTGAAGATTTTACCTTTCAAAATAAACCATGATGCACAGCAATAAATGCTTGTGTGTCTTGTTATTACCATGATAAGTATGTTAAAAAACAGCACCCCAGTGTATCCACTTCTTGACGCTGGCTAGGAGGTAAAGTGGTGTGTATTGTACACAGTTCCGGAAAATTTTAAAAACACTTTACACTTTTTTTATTTCTCTGGATTTGCCATTATTATGTTTTGAACCAAATTTCAGGCTTACATTGCAGAAAATTACAATATTCCATGTTGTAATTTTTTTTATAAATATTTATATAGGTTTTTTTTGTAATACTTGCACTATTTTGTTATTATGGAATAATTTCTCAAAAATATTTCTGATTGGAATGTGAAAAGCCATAAAATATTCATCCAATCATTGCATTTGGTCTGAATAATGAGATACAGGGAGTAATAGGCTATCCTTCCTGCTTGTCAGCCTATTTATTTGCATAACTTTAGAGTTTAGGATGTGGCTACAGTAGCAGGCTAAACCAGAAGCTGTTTAGTCAGAAAATTAGATTATGTAACAAAATTGCAGGGTTCAGTGCACACTGAGTTGGGCTGCAAATTAATCAAAGGTGATTTTCAGGGTAATTTTGTCAGTAAAGCCGGTTCTGTCATAAGCTGTAAATCTCCAGCATCTGTTTTTAGATAGAGCAGCGTTTACTATACAGAGCCATAGTTTGCAGATGATTCAATAGTGACGATTCTGAAATCAGAGATAATAGACAGTTGTTTTCATCGCTTCTCAATGAAGTAGGCAACAGCTCTGTGTTGAGGCTACATCTGAAAACATGTCAAAATGCCACATTTAATAATATGGTTTGACTACAAACTCACTTCATACCTTTAGTCAAGTGTTTAAAATAATCCTTATGTTAGATGATTCCGTAGTTGTGTAAATAATAGTCACTTTAAATCAATAAAAGCAGTTGAAATCTCTTTGATTTCCTGTGTCTCTTCTGGTGTATTTGAAGTTTCCAGGTGAGAGCGCCCTCTGGCCTTTGGAGGAGATTTAATGCTAATGACACAGTTGTTAGCAGTAAATCATTCAAAAATATCCTGAAGTTTGCTGCCTCAAAGTTTTAAGTTGAGTAAACTTTGTTTTTTCATAGTGTTCAGCTGCTCTCTGTTTATTTGAAGTGCTTCTTTTATCCTCACTTGTACGTCGCTTTGGATGAAAGCATCTGCTAAATGACC